AAAAATGTCAATCTTCTTAATGAAAAACAGTTAGCTGACAAAGGCAGGGGATCTTTTGACATAAAGGTCGAAGCAACTTATAACTTGATCTCGTGTCGCTGGTATGATAACAAATGTGTTTAGCTTCTTTCAAATTATATTGCTGATACACCAGTTTCTGAGTGCATGCGTTGGTGCCGCAAAGAAAAAAACATGGTTAAAATACCCCGTCCAGCTATTGTAGATAGGTATAATAGAAACATGGGTGGTGTTGATCTATCAGATATGCTATTAGAATTATACAAAGTAAATCATCGCTCAAAAAAATGGTACATGCGAATCGTTTATTGGTGTAAAAATGTATCAATCACTTGAAAGAACAAAACATATGCCACTTATAAGCTTTCAACTAGATATTGCCATAGAGCTACTTAATGCTAATGTGGTACGATCCCGAAAAAGAGGTCGGCCTGCATTTGCTTTATTACATTTTAGCTCTCCAAGCTCATCAACCGATCTTGTAGATCGAAGTTCTCCAGCTTCTTCCAAAGAGGCCTTATGTTATCGCTCCAGCAAAGGCAATAAGATACGACCAAATTGGTCACTAGGTTCAGTGGGGATCAAAAGGTAGATGTAGAATGTGTACTAAAGGCTTTCCCAGGACAAAATGTTCAAAATGTAATGTCCATTTGTGCTCAAACCCAAAAAAAAAAATTGTTTTTTACTGTATCATACTTAAACTAACACAGAAAAATAAAAATTTTTATCAAAAATCTCATAATTGTGTTCTCTTTTAAAGGTAATATTACTCATACGTACGTACTTATTTACATATATGTATGGACAAATGTTGCCTAAAGGCGACATTGCAGCGAGGACATACCAAAGGACTTAGAGTATCGAAAATCGATATGAACGTTACTTGGGGTTCCTATTAATCATTTATGGCGTTAAATATTTTTTATGTGTCCCCAGATTAATTTGGGAATGAAAGGGTTAAGCAAGCAGTCAATCCTACTACCGACAAAGGGGGTCAAGTTTTACATCATACGTCAGGGCACGCAGTTCAGCAAAATCGATTAGAAAAACACCCTCGCCTAACAGTTGTGAAAACTATTTAGATGTCTTCATCATTTTAGCCCTTACAAGTAGAGAACATCCAAAACGAATCGACCAAGTTTTCAGCATTCTTCTGGAAAATGATACCAGCTGCGAAAAAAAGGCTTGCCCTATAATGGAACTGTTCCCACTGATCAATTTAAAGAACATTCCCATCCACATCGAAACACACAATCTTACAAACTTCAGCAGAACAAGAAAGCTTTACCCATGGTATAATAACTACAAGGTAGTCCCGTCGCCGGCAGAATTGTTCGGGTTTAGTCCCCTATCGCCTCAGTACGCTCGGGTCGTTTGCAGTGAGAGGTTGTCCGCGGACGATTTTTTCTCAAAACGTTAACCCTTGTGTGCTTATGTAAAATACTTGTTGCAATTATTGCAGCAAGCACATACAATGTGTAACATGTAATAGTTTTACTTTTACCCCGTGCAGACGTGTTTCTTGATCGCTCCGCCAAGCGAGTCAATTAGCTCGATATTTAAGTGAAATAAAAACTGAAATAGTAGCGAAAAGACGCTGGCAGCAATCCCAAATCATATTAGCTCCATTTCCTTGTTTTCTAACAGATCAAAGTGAAGAAAACAATTAATCTCAAACAAAACACAATGCCTGCGGGCAAATCAATAATAAGTGCAACTAGTAAACCCACGAGTCAAAGTCGAATGCAACAACAACAAAAGCAAGGCGAACGCCGACTGTCTTCTGCCCGGAATAATGCTTATGTAGCAATTGTTTCGGAGACAGTAAGTAACGAACACGCAACAACAAAAGCAATGTCATTGACTGCTTCCGAGAGAGAGCGCTCACTGTCACCTGCACTTCTAAGCTCAAGCAGCGCTGCCAGGGCCCAGTCGTGGAGCTCCTAATGCCCATCTCCACTCTCACCACTCATTGCACTGACTACGTCAGCTCTTGCGCTGACCAGCACGGTGCCCTCTCTTGCAACTGTTGTTTCGATGACGACAACAACAACTTCAACGTCGGTGGCAAATCTGTGGCCGATATTATCATCGCAAGTGAAATGTGTCTCTGCTGCCTCTCTCCCACAAACTACGCTTGTACAGACCGGGATCGATCGGGACGTACAAATAAAAAGAAAGCTTAGCCCACAAAAAACCAATGCAAACCTGCCGAAAGTATCGAAAACCTCAGGCAAAAACAACAAGGCAACTTCTGACAATAGATTTGCTATACTTGGTGACCTTGGAGAAGATGTAAAGATGTAAAGCCACCCCCTATCTACATTAGAGAACACAATTGCTCAGAGCTTATTAACAATTTTAAACAAAAAATCGGGCCAAATATCTTTTATATTACCAACTTAAAAAGAGGTAATATATCAGAAACCAAACTCCAAATAAAAAATGAAAGAAACTACCGCACTGTGACGAATTTCCTCGACCATGTGCCGGTAAATTACTACACCTACCAGCTCAAAAGTAGCAAAGGACTACAAGTTGTAGTAAAAGGAATAGAATCAACCGTCGCAGTAGCTGACATAGCCGAGAGACTAAAAGATCAAGGTTTTGACGTTAAGTACTAACTGTCAGGAGTTTGGGCACACAAGGAGCTACTGCACCTTGCGATCAGTCTGTGTCGCCTGTGGTGATCTGCACTTCATAGATGCATGTCTGAAAAACAAAGAAGACCCTGCAACGAGGAAATGTAGTACCTGTGGTGGAAACCACACTGCCAACTATTGGGTCTGCCCTATCTATAAAGAACTCAAGACTCGTCTGACTCAGACTGACTACCGCTCAACATGTTGTTCAACCAAACTACTTCACGCCATCAGTAACAACACCCGGAGTCTCCTTTGCCAGAGCTCTTTGATACTCTGGAGCATCGCCAGTGCCAGTAAGTCTTTCTCAGCCTGAAGTTGTGCATTCTCTCCAGCCCATACCAAATCGAAAAGATGACTCGCTGCCGAAACAAAATACCCAGCGAACAACTCAACCCACTACTCAGCAAAACCATGCTCTGCCTATTTGAACACCCACAGCTTGTAAAGCGACCACAATTTCTGACTTCCAATACAACAAACTGGCTAAAGTATAAAAAATATATCAGCTCTCACATTCAAATCGAACCCAATATCTCGTGTGAAGCTGACATTGATAACTCACTTAAGCACATAACAGATGTAATGTCCTCAGCTGCCAAACACTCTACACCTGACCCCTTAGCTACATCCCTCCCAAATACTATGCGTTCAAACATGCAGATCCAATCGCTCCTTCAAGAAAAGCGTAGACTTCGCCGAAACTGGCAGATACACCGATCCCCAGCCACTAAACAAAGCTTTAAAGAAGTCTGTCGAAAGCTATCTACAGCTTTAATAACTGAGAAGAACCAGGCTCAACGTGCGTATATAGCACAGCTTTCACCCACTAGCAACAAATTTCCACTCTGGAGAGCGCACCCAAACATTCAACCACCTATAGAGCCCGATTTTCCAATTCGATCACCAACAGGTGTATGGGCGCGTAGTGACGAGGAAAAGGCCAACATCTTCGCCTCTCACTTACAAAACGTCTTCCAACCTCATCCGCCGGCGAATCAATTTACTTTGCCAAACATCCCACCAGCAGAGCCTTCCTCCGCAATCATTCTTGAAACAAATACAGTCACAAAAGCCATTGCAGAACAGATGAATCCAAAAAAAGCCCCCGGCCTTGATTCAATTTCGCCTAAAATGATAATTGAACTGCCTGCATGTGCAGTTAAATGCATCACCACCATATTCAACTCAATTCACAAATGGGGCTATTTTCCTCTGCAATGGAAAAAGTCCGTCATTACAATGACACCGAAACCAGGCAAAGACAAATCCCAACCTTCGTCATACAGGCCCATTAGCCTCCTTCCGTGCTTGATAGCGAATTGGGATACTCTAAGTCATTGCTACCAGTGTCTTAAAAAGCAAGCAATTCCAAAATACTTTTGTTTTCAAAGTTATATGGTCGGATGAAACAAAAATTAATCGCTTCGAGTCAGATGGGCGCTCTTGGTATTGGACTAGAGATCCCACGATCCAGTCACCAAGGAATGACAAACCGCTAGCGGTTCCATGGGTTGGGGGTGCATTAATGGAGTTGGTTCCTTGTTATTAATCGATGGAATAATGCGAAAGGAGCAATATCTATCCATTTTACAAGAAAATCTTCCAAAGGAATTTTGGAAAATTGGGTCTTTCTGCCGAAAAATGCGTTTTTCAGCAAGACAACGACCCCAAGCACACGTCCATATTGGTAAAAATTGGATTTCAAAACAGAAAATTCAATCTATGAAGTGGCGACTACAATCTCCCGACATGAATCCAACAGAAAACTTGTGGAGTCATGTGAAATCGCAGCTGGAGAAATATGCAGTTCCTCCAAGTGGAATGAAGGAGTTGTGAGAGCGGCAACAGGGCGTATGGAATGATATTCCCCCGGAAATGGTACGACGGTATACCCAAAATATGTCCTGACGCATAGATGAGCTAAGAAAGTCCAAGGGGATGTGAACTCACTAGAAAAAAATCATTAATAAAAATATTTCTTAAAAAAATAACCAGAGTGCAAAACTGTAACATTTGACTTTTTTTACAGTTTGGCGCGTCATTTTCTTTAACTGATATCAAATGGCTTTGAATTTTACTTAAACTTACCGAAGCTAGCTTCCTTGTTTTCATTTTATATATTTTTTGTACTAACACCTTAGGAAAAACAGCTCTGTATGTTTCGCGTTGAATTAAATTTGTCTTAAAAATTCTCATGAATTTTACAGAGTTTCAATTAAGAGTTTCAGTTTTTTACTTTATTTGTTTTCCAAATCAACCTGGCACAATGGTGTTTGTTCCCCATTTATCTACTTTATAATAACAACATTAAAATATTAAACTTTTTGTACTTTTCAGACTTCTCATACAGCCTCTTCCCGACAACATCAATATATGTTCCTATTTAAAAAACATTTATTTTTCGACAACTACATAAATTTAGAGGACACTGTTGAAAAAGAGTTGTTATATAACCAAATCCTACATAGCCTCAGAAGTGAGAGGTACCCAATTACAGAAATGGAAGCGATTATGTTAACTGCTCTTCAGAGCCAACTTGAGCTTGGCGATTGTTCTGAAATGCTGACTGACTACAGGGTTGTCGCTAGCCATTGCTTACCCCCGAGATTTGTCCCAAATCTACCACGCGAAGCTGTGGCAATGCATCATCAAAGTCTTCGAGGAATGCTACCAGCTGAAGCTAAAAAAGCGTTTCTCAATTTGATACAAAGTTGGCCACTTCATCGGGCAACCATTTTTGATGTTATGGTAAGTAATCTATTTATTAGCTTGAGTTTGAGCTATGAGATCAGTTATTATAACTTATTTAATACATTTAAACATAACTTTTTTTTCTTGGAATCTAAAGTGTGATCTAATGTGATATTATTTCACACTTTCCACCTTGAATCTATGGTCAAGTATACCACAGAGCAGGCTCATATTTACCTGTATATGAAATAAATTAATTAAATGAATATATTTTTCCAAATGAATCAAGATTAGTAAATGACTGCGTATAATAGTGTTCTGCGAAGCGTTCGTTTTAATGAAGGAAACATTTTTTTTTAAATGCTCCCCATGGGACCGGCAAGACCTTTATTACTTACTACTAGCAAAAGTAAGGTCTTAGGGAAAGCTAGACTTAGCAATAGCGTCCTCAAGTATCGCAACATTTATATTAGCAGGTGGACGCACAACCCATTCCACTTTTAAACTTCCTCCAACTGTTTCTTTAGAAAAGGATAGCGTGAGCTCTTTACGTAAAAATGGCTCTTAGGAAAAAGTTTTCCCAGACGTCCGTTTAATAATCTGGAACGAATGCACCTTGATCCATAGAGCTCACGTAGAAGCTCTAGACAGAACTGTAACAGATCTTAGAAGCTATAATAAAATCATTGGTGAATTTACCCGTAATAGTAAGGGGAACTAGGGAATTCATTGTAAAGTCTTGCCTTAAAAGATCTCCATTATAGAGAATTGGAAATATTTTTCAATTATCGGCAAAAAGCCCATTTGGGGGGAGATAGTATAACTCTTCCATCAAAATTACTTTTAGTAGGAGAAGGTAAAACACGTAAATAAAATAAAATACATAGAAATTGATCACGGTTTAGGAGAAAGAGTTGAAGATTAAATATCAAAAGTTTACCTTGACATCAGCGAATAGAAAGTAAAGAAGAATTCAAATTTTTTGAACCGTAGTGTCCTGAATTTAATTTCCCTTTGAGCTTTCTTTCGCCGTTACAATTAATAAATCACAAGGGGATAGATTAACGCCAGGACTGCTTTTCACATGGTCAACTATACATAAGTCGCGTTGTCAAGATCCGGTTGCCGAGAAAATCAATATATTCTTTTGCCACCAGAAAATAAAACAGAAATTGACGCGGATAAAGATTAAGACGACAGACGACAGCTAGTATGTTATATTATATAAATTTCATATAACATATTTTTTTCGATCTTTCCTATGGCAGCTACACGACATAATAATCCGATTTTGATAAAATTTAATTCGAAATTCAAAAGTTATTAGAAAACGTTATTGAGTTTCGGATTAAATTTGATCAAAATCGGATAGTTCTATCATATAGCTGCCATAGGACAGATCGAAAAATATGTATAGAACTATAGAATTTTTTACTAAAGGTCCGCCAACACTTTTACCTCCCCTCGCCATGTGGACGGGAGTTCTGCCTGCCCTAGGGGAAATTTTTTATGGCCAAATCAATGCTGCCCGATGATCTTCTTTTGGCAAAAACAGAACTCCGGGGGTGTATTGATGTGGCTTGCGATTCAGTAATGAAAAAGGACAGTTTAGACACTTCTGCAGAGGTTATGTTATGTAACAACGTACGCAATGCTATATTCTGGGTTGGCCAATATAAAAATGTAGATTCAAACTACACATCCGAGGTCAGCTAGATGTACTCTATGGTTTTGGGGTCGAATTAACAGGTTAGAATATAATTCTGTTTTTGCTCAATTTCGGAAAATATTTATTGGGTGGATTAGATAAGCAACAGAATAATTTATATAAAGCCGCCAAAGTCACTGATAAACGACAGGTCCTTTGATGCCAGGTCAATGCTGCCCGATGATCTTCTTTTGGCAAAAACAGAACTCCGGGGGTGTATTGATGTGGCTTGCGATTCAGTAATGAAAAAGGACAGTTTAGACACTTCTGCAGAGGTTATGTTATGTAACAACGTACGCAATGCTATATTCTGGGTTGGCCAATATAAAAATGTAGATTCAAACTACACATCCGAGGTCAGCTAGATGTACTCTATGGTTTTGGGGTCGAATTAACAGGTTAGAATATAATTCTGTTTTTGCTCAATTTCGGAAAATATTTATTGGGTGGATTAGATAAGCAACAGAATAATTTATATAAAGCCGCCAAAGTCACTGATAAACGACAGGTCCTTTGATGCCGATGGATTTCGGTTGCACTGGCTTGAAAACTTTCCACGCTTCTTTTGTATGCACTGTATATCTATTTTTAGACACGATAAGATAAGAGCTTGTACTGCTCATGAGCACGACATGAAACGGAAAGACAGCTGGGGTTTTGAGCTTTATCTCTACTCTCAACTTGAGGGATGCTTTTTGAAAAACCACTATTTGCCATTTCCAGGAGGGGTTGTCGAAATAGGTGAATATCTGGTAATATTGTAGCGGGCTTTATTTAATATTTAAAATGGGAGAGTCGATGTAATGTAATTGTATGGGAATGAAAACTACTTCTTGCAAACCAAGGCGACTATTACACGGCTTTAATAAAACCAACTTTGTTACAATACGCAGATTTCAGCAAAGAATTTTGCATAATAACAAAGGTAGTAAGGAAGCGTGTGGAGCAGTTTTAACTCAAAACAAGGATGGGCTCCAACTTCTAGTAGCATACGCATATAATTCATTTTGAAAAAGGTGAAAGTAAGAAAAGTGCAACAGAACAAGAACTATCAGCAATTCATTGGGCGAAAACACATTTCAGACCATACATTTATGGTAGACACTTCACTGTAAAAACAGGTCACAGACCACTCACGTACCTATTTTCTATGGTAAATCCCAGTTCGAAATTAACTCAAATAAGACTAGAATTAGAAGAATATAATTTCACAGTAGAATATCTAAACAGTAAAGACAACCATGTAGCCGCTGCGTTATCAAACAAAGAAATAGACTTGACTAGGAATCTATAGAAAAAACTTTAAAGCCCAACGTATTAGAAGACATTATAAAGACGAGGTACGAAAAGTAGTGACCTGGCATTTACCTTGCATTTAAAAAATACGCTATTTTTCTTTAAACATGGAAAGAAAATTACTGCAAGAGGTGATGTTAGCCATTAATATACTAATGGAAATCTCGACTTAGGTCAGTTTTTCCAAAGGCTTGAAATGCAAGCCGGTATACACAAAATCAGCCAACTCAAAGTGGCACCGTGGGAAAATATCTTTGAACAAGTTTCAATAGAACATTTTAAATTAATGGACAATAAAATATTGAAATCATTGAGAGTAGCGCTACTCAACCCGGTGGTCCCAATAAGTAATGAAAAAGAATAAGAAGCTATTATGTCTACATTAGGGGAGAGTGGGGATAGGTGAACCATGAGGATAGATGAACCACTAGTAATATTTCACCTCTTATCAGGATTTTGTGCACCAACTTCATATGTGTTGTTTATCCAGTCGGTATCTTAACATCACACGTACGCGTGATCGCGTCAAACAATTGCTGTCATTTCTATCACTAATCAAAGTTTTTGTGCGCCTTTCGCAGCTATTTGCGACCTGACGTTTCTTGGGAAAAATTTATTGTGCTCCGCCTGTGGTATTGAACTCTAGAAAATTTTATGTTAACTTAAATAGACGCAAATTATGTTATTTTCACGTATATCTCACGCATTTCAAAATATTCCATTAGCCTGAAAGGTGAATCAACTATGTTTGTGGGGTGTATCCCACCCGTGGGGATACTTGAACCATTCGAGACAAAAATTTAAAATGCTCATAAAGTTCAAAAAACGGGACATATTATTTTCACAAAATACTTTAAATGCAAAAAAATGAATGCTCTTTTAGATTCCTATAAACAGCAGACCCTAAAGTCGAATTGTTCAGACATAATAATGTTCAACAAAAAAAGTGGTTCACCTATCTCCACTCTCCCCTACATGATGAACCAATACAAGGAGGTCAATGGCTTTACGAAAACTTTGGCCAAAGTCAGAAGGTAGCAGAGGTAACTATCGCGGCAGAGGCAGAGGCAATAATTATAATAAAAATAATTATAACCGCAAAATTGGCCAGTTTTGCTACTACAATAACAACAACACCAGAGGACAAAACAGTTACAAAGGAAACAATCGTTCAGATGGAGGAAACAACTCAAACAAGAAAGGAAGCTAGCTTCGGCTTGCAGAATAATATATCCTTGCAGTCATCAAATACGTCAAAAAAATACATAAAGGCTAAACAACATCGAAGCTATGACGATTTTTTTTCATGCTTGTCTGATAAAAAACAACAATGTTATAATTTTATTTCCGATACTTCCATATAGATATTCGATCGTTTCTATGGCAGCTATGTATATGATAACATAGTCGGATTTTGATGAGGTTTTTTTCTCGATTCACGGGTTATTAAAAAATCCATATTTTCAGATTCAGTCTGATAAATCGTTCTTCCCACTAATGGAATACTAGGAATTGACTTATTCAAAAATATAACTGTCTTTTAGACTTCAAGCCATCCGAAGACTGGCTTACAATTATACCAAATAACCTAAAATGTTTCAATTACATATAGTTCTACCAATAACTCTATAATTCTTCCAGCAAGATCCGAAGTTGTCCGAAAAATCAAAATATATTTAGCAGAAGACAGTAAATTTATTCCAAGCCAAGAAATTCAGCATGGTATATACATACATAGCAAATACCATAGCAACAGCTCAAAAACAACCAGTAGTACGAAAAGTCTAATCTCGTTTGGTACAGAAAACACTCAATTTCTTGCATTTTCTTCGTGACCATTTCGACAAAAATTCGATGCATATCGTTCCGCAACCACAGTATTTTTCTGATTTGGCTCCGTGTGACTTCTGGCTATTCCCAAAACTCCTAAGACCACTCCGGTGAACGCGTTTCGAGTTGATTGAAGAGATAGAAGCGGAATCGACGAGGGCGCTCCTGGCTGTACCAGAAAGGGACTATTTGGCCTGATTCGAGGATTTGAAAAATCGTTGGC